TCATGTTTGTTTTGTGTTTGTTGTAAAAATAAAAAAAACATTATAAAAAAAAAAAAAAAAGGTGGGAGAGTGGCTCCAACAGATCCCAGTTCTCTGTCCAGAAGAATGCAGTGCTAGGAACAACTAAGATACTGCACAGTACCCTCAAACTCCCAGACCTCTGGTAGAGGGCCCGAGACTGAGGAAGACACATACTTGAGGTGAGAGGGGTTTTTTTTTATATATAATAAATGATACAATAGACAATAGACAATGTCAGGATTGTAGGGTCTTATCAAAGCCAATACTGTCATATTGTTGCTGATCTCATACTGGAGATAAATTGAAGGGATCCAGAAATTAGAGGAATAGCTAACCTAAAGGAATGGGAATTCCTACTGCCACCATTGCTAGGCCACCCCTCTCCAATTTTTATTGGCTTCCTATCTGAGATGGAAAGGACAATTAAAAAGGCCTTGGAATAGGTTGATGGTTGAGCCCCTATTGGATGGGAATTTGTTTTTAGGTCTGCCTTTGGGTCACATATGCATTCTTGTCCTTTCATTGCATTGTTCTTACTTTTTTAACTGTAAACCACCCAGAGTCTTTGGAATTGGGTGGCTTCTAAAATTGATTAGACAGACAGACAGACAGACAGACAGACAGACAGACAGACAGACAGACAGATAAAGGCAACGAAGAGCTTAATTCCTGACTATACTTTCTAATGGAACCATCTGAATGTTACTAGTGCTGCCACTGTGGACAGGTACAGTGTCATTCAGATGGCAGTGTCACTGAGTAAAGGTACACTATATAAATCACAACAACCTTCTGCAGTCATAGCATTCTTGAGATCTCTAGATTGCAACTTCCATGATTCTTAGCACTGGCTGTGGTGGCTTGTGCATTCTGGAAACTGAAGTCCACACATTTGGAGAGTACCTAGATTAAAGAAGCTTGGTTCTGAGCCATCACTGACACTGCTGCCACAGATGGATATGCCCATCTTGTAATATAATGTAATGTAGTTACTCAAGTAATGAGTATTAGAAATTAGATTTCTAGTAAAATTAATGGAAAGTGGGCATAAAGAAAGGATTAAACAAGGAGTCTCCAGAAGACTGGATATTATTAAAAAATAAATGTGATATGTTTTGAGATGATGTGAAATGAAGAAATGTTGGAAGGAATATTTTAGAGGTTTGTATAGAAATGATAGTGATATGTCAACATGGAATTGAAGTGGATACTATAATTGTTGCCATCCAAGAAAAAATGGATGAAAAGCAAGTAATAAATGCTCTGAGAATATTGAAAATGCTAAGACAGCAGATGTAAATGATGCAAGTGGAGAAATGTTAAAATATTTAAGGTTAGTGTGACTACGTGACTTTTTAATGTATGTGTGAAGACTGCATGTGCACCTGAGAATTGGAAGAATGGCATTATTAATCCCCAAAAGGGAAAGGTATCAAGAAAGAATACAAAACTACATTGTTTACCCTGAAAGGGAATAGTATAATGAGTATATATGTGTGGAATAAGAAGCAGACATGGGAAACTTGAAGCCCTGGGATTAACTGGAAAAACTCTTCGCAAATTTAGATATCTGTAAGAAGTATCTGCCTCTTTCCTGGTATATCTCAAGGCAAGGGAAATGGGTTGTTTAGAGAGGGGTTATGAAAGAGGGAGAATGGGGTATCAGAAAGAGAAAGAACAGATGGCACTGTTCACTTTTGTCAATAGCCCTACCCTCTACTTGCTTTAACTCTTCCTATAGGCCTCTAAGAGATTATCTATTTCATGGGAATGCAGTGCTTTAGTTTTTAGTCTTTGTCCCTCTATCAAATATCTTAGCCCGATGATTACATTTTAATAATGTTTATGTTTTTTTCTTGATTATTGAAATACCATATTAGGCTGACATCTTGAATCTCCACATATATGCACTCATAGCTGCCTTGTTTGGGAAGACGTAAGGTATATTTTGGAGATATTACTTTTGGATTCTACATCCATGTTGATCTTCAACTAGAAGGCATGTAAAATTCTCTGAAGAGATTGATGCTCATTTTAGTAGTAACCATATATGATAAAAATAGTAACCATATATGACAAATGGATAATGCTGCCTGCTTTTGTCTACACACATTGTGCATTTGCTAGAAGCCCAATTCTTACTGGGGCATGATAACCAATAGGGTGGGCTACCAAGAATCCTTCTTTTAGTAACATGCAGGTGTATTTACACAACATAGTTGCCTGCCACATCAGGAGGCAAGCAATAACTCAACAGTACCAGAACGTGGTGAGACAGAATCATGTCCAGTGATAGAAGGAAATCACTACCGTGTACCATTCCAAACACCTCAGTAGCAGTTGGAGCATTTCAATTTTAGAGTGACTATTAACATGTTTTATAAAAGAATTACAATACAGTTTCTTTAAAATATTGATACTTACTAGCTCACCATTCTGTCCTAGCTCCATCTTATTCGTGTGGAGGGGAAGAGAACAAGGTGGCTTTCTGCGTGTTGGTTTACTAGCTGGGACCTAAAAATAGAGGAAAACTTGTAAAACAGAAAGAAAGAGGAAAGAGAAAATAGATTTTAAAAGAACGAATGTAATATTGGTTATTTAAGGAATGCTCAAATCTTAACATGTACATGAAGTTAGAGGGTTTTGTTCCAATGTTCAAATTGAACTTCCCTTTGTAGTTGCATTATCCCTACCTCCTTTCCAGAAAGTGATGGTTGCTCTTGGAATTTTCCTGCTAGCTGTGCCACAGATGGAGTTTTGGGCTTTTCCACCATCATCTTGGTCTCTGATGGTTTGTCCTGAAAGAAAACCAGAAATGAAATGTTTCTCAGTGTATGAGAAATATAGGAAACAGAGAAATTTGCAAAAACTAAAATTTTTATTGTAAAGCAAAAAACTTACTGATGTGCAGCAGTTTCTTGTTGAGCAAATTGTTTTGTTTCACTAACTATTTGAATATTTTAAGAAATAATATATTCAAATTATATAATATTTTACAGACTAATAAATAAATGGTATTTGGAAATCCTTGCTGGATATTTTGTGTGAATGCAACTGACATGAAGATTGGTTTAAATGTCCCTTTTTATCTGACAATTCTTTTTCCAAAAGCTACCTATCAGCTCTTGCCATTATTGTTACAGTTCTGAAATCTGGTTAGCAAGATAATAGCATTGTTGTTGCTGCTGATATTATTAGTAGAGGGAAGATGGCGTTATTTGAAAGTAAAAGTTGGGAAAAGAAACTAAGAAGACAATTAAGAGTTTTTGGACTGGCAAGACATTTGGACTGAGTTGAATAATAGTAGATGGAAAGAGACTTGGGTAGAAAAAGAGGAAGAAGTTGAGAAGGAATAAGTGGCTGGGAGATCATCATTATGGAACAGGCTCATTGAGCTAGTGGATGCAAGTGGAAGGTGCTGTGGTTGCTTCCACAGGACTAAGAGGACAAAACCCTGGGGGAAAAAAGGTGACACCAACCCCTGCTGACTGGAGAGGGTGCTGGTAGGAGAGTGGGGATCCAGAACTGAAAAAAGTAGAAGTGGGATTGAAAGCTTAGATGAACAGTCCTCTCTTTGGGTGAGGTTGGTGGGTACCGTGCCTCAGCAGTGAGAGAACACAGGAGAAAGAGGAACAGGTGGTGACTTGTCCATTCCCAGGATAAAAAAATTGGAGAGGTTGAGGGGAACTAGTGAGAGAAGGCCAGGAAAAGGAGGGAGGCTGGCCAAGTCTTATCATTCTGAAGTAGCTTCAGCTAAACAGCAGGTGGTTCTGGGGACACCATAGGGAAAGGCTCAGGGATGGAGGCCAGAAGTAGCCAGGGTTGTAGGGTCTGAACTGGGTATAACTCCAGCACCACAGCATTGCTGTTGGTACAGAAACCTTCTAGTTCTGTGGATATGCCATCTATTGTTTGGGATGGGGTTTGGGAAGGAACAATTGGGACTGTTTTCTCCAAGTAAAATCTGCCTGCTCCACATAACCTAGCCAGGATAGAATGCTGTTGGTTGGGGTCTGGAAGATGACCTTCTCAGTGGCAGCCCACTCATTCTGGAAAGCTTATCTCCTGAGGTCAGATTAGCCCTCTTATTCTTTAGGAGAATGGTAAAAATAGTTCTCTTCTGCAGAGCTTTTGGAGATCTTTAATTAGAAGACAACTATGGATATATTTTTATTTATTATATATTGTTTTAATATGTTAATATTAGTCCAAGGAGTAGGTGGGAAACCTATATAATCTGATGATTTAAAATTAGAGTTGGATTATGGAAAGGAAAGGTAGGAGGACTGCTAGTTAAATCCACAACTCTATACATGATATCCTATAACTCTACCCATGCCAGCAGTCCCATGGTCTTCTAAGATCAGTAGTCCAAAAGATAAGGATACCAGAATATCTGGATACAACACATTTAAATACTGTTTAGATTGTTTTGCAGGGTAAATTAATTATGTGCAGGAAAGAACAGGCGAGTTGCAGTATAACTGAGTAATTTAAGTCTCTGGCCACTAAAGTAAGCAGCCACAATGAGGCTACAAAATGTGTCTCTCCACTTATTTCAAAACGTTTTGCTGCATTCAGAGAGCCTCCTGACAGTTCCGTTTGCTGAATGGAGCCACAGTCTTCCTCCCTTATGGCCTGCTCTGATTGCACTACTACTGGCAAGCAGTGGAAGAGTTAAATAGCTCCCACCTGCCAATATTCTTCTCCAAAGGAAGCTCTGTTTCCCTCCTAACATCTATTTCTGCACATATTGTTCTCAGTGAATGAGAAAAAGATTTGTCCTTCACTGCACCGGACACAGATAGGATACCATTCTAAGATTAGATTAGATCATGCAAAGGACTGGCAGCTGTAGAAGGACAGATTATATTCCCAAATTTCACAGATAAAAAAAAAAGATCTGCCTCTACAACATTTAGGAAGGAGCAGCAAGGAGGGAGAACAAGCCTTCTGTCCATGTTCACAGATAATTGGGCAAGAGAGAATTAAGTCATTGGGAAGGCAAATAGGTAGCATTCCAGGCAAAATTTGTTTTTATCAACCTGCATATATATTTGATGCACCATTCTAACATTATAAGGTCTCTTCCAAGCTATTTCTTATGAGTCACTTGGAAATAGTAGCAACTCTGCCCATTGAGGGGAATATAACATTTTGACACATGTTCCAAGACAAACTGGAAAAAAAAAAGACAACATAGTTGTGGGCAGGGTAAAAAGAAATTGAGTCAAGTCCAAGTACAAATTCATTGTCATTACTATAATACTACAGTAATAGTAATGCTGTGTGAGCAAAGTTGATTTCTGACTATGATAATTCCACATGCTGAAATTAATATGAGAAGACTCATGTGCACAGAAACTCTACATAGATATACTGTATGCAGAATTCCACCCAGGGAGCATTAGAGTGTAACAATAGCTCTCATGCGGTCATGAGAATGGGCTGAAAGCTTCATTGTATGTGAGAGATAAGGTACTCTTATATTTCTTTATTTTCAAGGATATCAGACTGTGAATATCATTTAAAAGCAAAATACAAATGATACTAAGCTAGAATTTTTATTTCTTTCATTGTATAGCAGTATCTTCTATGAATAAAATGTTGGAGTAATTATAATAAATTGCTAAGTATTAGAATACCAGTTGGTAAGGCCACATTGATTTGAAATGTAACTTAAGTGGATGTATTTTGGGTGCAGACTTAAGCTGTATTCAGACAGTTCACATTTATATTTCTTGTATGTATTGCAAATCCAGAACAATCCTTCTGGAAAGGATTCCTGTATTATTTTTCTGTTCTCTGACAGAAACATCCTAAGAATAACTCTGAATAATCCACACAAATTTAGAGAACGGAGAGAGTTTTATGCCTTTCCTGAAGTAGTGTAAAAATGTAGTCTGATTTTTAAAAATTTCATTTTTGCAAACATTTCCCTTCCTTTTGGTGGTAGCACAAATTATTATATTTAAAGCGATTTTTATGAATATATTCTGTTTTTATTTTCTGATTTTGTAAATCTCTGTATGTATCTCAAAAGGTTAGAACAACTATGATATGATTTTTTTTTGCTAATTGTTTTGGAAGCCTGTGAGAAAAAAGACTATATCAAATAACAATAATACAAATACGTTATTTGGCATATCTTTTAAAATAGCCAGATGCCTACCTTATTTTCTCAATTTGTAAGTACAGGTAGTCCCTGAGTTAAGAACACCCAGTTTAAGGACGACCCATAGTTAAGAACGGAGCCTACTGTAGCAAAATCGGAGTTAAATGCACAATGATTCAAGTTAAATATACAATGGTTTGAGTTAATTACACAATACTACTTATACAGTATTATACAATAATACTGTTTTGGTTTACATACAAATTCGACTTAAGGACAGGCCTTGGGAACGGAACTTGTTCTTAAACTGGGGACCTATCTGAAATGGCATCTTTTTGGCTAGGGAAGGGAGAGCACTAGTAATTCTGAGTGCTCAAGTGATGGCTACAACACTGCAGAAAATACATTGCACATTGCCTTCACCACTTGCATTGTTCATGGCAGGTTTCCATGGTGATTGCCATGATAACTGTGCAAATCATCACTGCCTCCCTTCACCATGGCTCCAGAAAGGACACCAAGAGTCACAAATGTTGAACATGTCCTTCCTTTTAAGACCTGTCCATTCCAAGGAAGAACTGAAGCTTTGAATTGCTCAACAAAAATTTGCATCCATAGGACAGATGCCCTCTTGTCATAGTCTTCCTCACTATGGTGAGACATATCTAAATTACAGCCAACATTTATCACTATGTTTCTAAACACATACATTTGCAGTTAGAAATGTTATGCAACTCTGGGTGCAATTTTGTTCTTTTTGACGATCCATTTCTCTTTGCTGGGATGATGCTTAAACAGCCAGCTTAAGCACCATACAGAATAGGTTTACATTATTATATTTGCAATATAATACCTAATATCAGAGGTGAACGAACTGCCCACCTGTTGCTGTACCAACTAACTAGCATCATAAGTCTAATCATGCTGACAATCATAGTAATGGTTCTTTTTACATTTAATTTATAACAAGTACTATTACTACTGCAGAAGAAATGGTTCATCCAGTTGCATCTGTGATTTCAGGGGGAGATGCTCTTAAGAAATTAGCTTGTTCCGATAGACAGAAGACCCTGGCTGTATCAGAACTAAATTTTGACAGTCCTTTAGGATTTCTGTCTGTCTAAAATAAGCAGCATCTTTTACCAAGAGTGAAAGAATAGAAAAGGTAATAAGTTGTCATTGTTCTCAAATACATGATTTCAGTTCAAAGAAGAAGCAGGTGCTCTAATAATTAAAAGGAAGAAGCAAATAAAGTTGATGGTATATCAAAGGATCAGCCCTGAGACAGAAGGAAGACAGTGAACCATCAGAGCCTTTATTCAGACTGCTTTCTCTTCACAAGTCAAAGTATGAAGTCAAACACAGCAGAAATTACTCAGGAAGTGGGTGTGTGAAGCTTGCTTTGGTCTGTTGATTATTTCCATAGAAGGAAATTCCACAATGTCTGTCCTGATTGAGAGCATGGGAGCAAGCTAGGCCCTTTGCTCAAGAAACAACACATGTTAAGAGATAAGTAAACAAATGGCTGCAGCTCTAGCTACATTAATCTCCTTTTCCCAAGGAAAGAAAATGAGCAACCTTTTTTTTGCAACCTTCTTTAACTTTGTTTTCCCCTCTTGACACTGGGCAGTCTAATAAAATCTGCTGAATTATATTGGCCTTACATTTGCTGTAAGCCTTCTA